TGAACCGTTATGAATTCCTTTGGATATTCTCTCTCCTGAGATTCTAATACACTATCCTTCCTTGCACAGTGCAAACGGGTTGCTTAGGCTTAGCAGAACACTGCAGTAGTTATTTTTCAAGAGTTCAAAGGAGTATCTATCCTGTATTCATTTTTTTCTATGTAAAGTTTTTGTTTTGTTTTTGTTTTTCAAGGCAGGGTTTCTCTGTGGCTTTGGAGAACTAGCTCTTGTAGACCAGGCTGGCCGCAAACTCACAGAGATCCGCCTGCCTGTGCCTCCCTAGTGCTGGGATTAAAGGCATGCGCTGCCGCCACCACCACCACCACCTGGCTCTATGTAAAATTTTATTTATTTGTTTTGCATGAGTGTTTGTCTGACTATATGTTTGTCAGTGTCCAAGGGAGACCAGAAGAGATTTCAGATCCTATGGAACTGGAGCTAGTTGTGAACTGCCGTGTGGGTGCTGTGAATCGAACCCAGTCCTCTTGAAGAACAGCCAGTGCTAACTGCTGAGCGATCTCTAGCCATCTTGTATGCTTGAAAACAAAAACCCAAGTACCTTAGGCATTTGGACTTGTCAGTACTTCAGAATTAACGTTGAGTTAAACTGTGAAGTTAGGTGGTGGTGGCATGTCTTTCATCCTAGCACTTGGGAGGCAGAAGTAGGGAGATCTCTGTGAGTTCGAGGCCATCGTGGTCTATAGAGCAAGTTCCAGGACAGTCAGAGCTACACAGGAAAACCCTGTCTCAAAAAAACAAAAACAAAACCTTACAAACATATTTGCACATATGGAAGCTCTTTAGTTTTTATTCTGGCATGCATTTACAAGGTATTTACTTCTAAGCTGGGAAGTGGTAGCAGCACTCCAAAAGCAGTGGCAGGTTGAATTTCTGAGTTTGAGGCCAGTCTGGTCTACATAGTGAGGTCCAGGATAGCCAGAGCTACACAGGGAAATCCTGTCTCAGGAAAAGAAAAAGATGTTTGTTTCTAAGTAAAGAGGGTATCAGAAGCATAGTGACACAAATCTATTTTTATCAACTACTTTGGGGACAGAGCCAGCCCTCAAGTTCTTTATTTCCTCTTTTGCAATCCAAGATTTTTTTTTGGTCATAAAATTAAATTATGAATGGATAGCTTTTTTTTTTAACTTCTGTTTTTTTCCCCATTTTTTAATTTGAATTAGAAACAAGATTGTTTTACATGTCAATCCCAGTTCTCTCTCCCTCCCCCCCCCCCCCCCTCCTCTGCGCCCCCCCCCCACTATAACCCTGCCTATCCCATACCCTTTCTGCTCCCCAGGGAGGGTGAGGCCTTCCATGGGGGGGGGGGTCTTCAGAGTCTGTCATGTCCTTTGGGATAGGGCCTATGCCCATCCCTGCATGTCTAGGCTCAGGGAGTGTCCCTCTATGTGGAAAGGGCTCCCAAAGTCCATTCCTATGCTAGGGATAAGCACTGATCTACTACAAGGGACCCCACAGATTTCCAAGGTCTCTTCACTGACACCCAGTGAATGGAAAACTTTTACTATTGTTTTACTAAAAATTTGGCAGAGCAGTAGAGCTCTTGCTTACCATGTAAGATGTGTTGGGTTTAATCCGCAGCAAAAAGTGCAAAACTTAAATCTAGCCTGTATGTGTAACATGAATTGAAGGAAGTTCCATTGTCTCATTGTTGGAAAGGGGCCTTAAGGGTCAAACCCAGGGCTTCAAATGGCTCTGGTGATGTGCCTAGCCCTCTGCTCCTTCACTTTCTTTTTTTGTTTTTTGTTTTTTGTTTTTCAACACAGGGTTTCTCTGTGTAGCTTTGGAGCCTATCCTGGCACTCGCTCTGGAGACCAGGCTGGCCTCGAACTCACAGAGATCCACCTGTCTCTGCCTCCCAAGTGCTGGGATTAAAGGCATTCGCCACCAACGCCTGGCTTACCTGTTTTGCTTAGGTGACCTAAAACTAAAATCATGAATCTGCCTGGCATGATGGTACATGCTTGTAATCTCAACTCTGAGAGATAGAGTTAGGAGAATCAGGAGTTTAGGGTCATCTTTTGCTACATAGTTTGTGACTAGCTTGGGTGATCACAACACAAACAACAAAATGAATGCAATTCCATGGGGATTTCGGGTCTTAAGTGCTCTGAGTCGCTTTGTAAAGTGGGTTGAAACTGATTCCACAGAGTGTTTCTGAGTAACCAATCAATTCACCTCCTTGCTGCTGTTTGACATTCTCACAGTGACCATCTTTCCACCGCAGAAAAGGACACTAATGGAGAAGTTCTGTGGGTGTGGAGTTATCCTTCCACGACAGCCTCGTTAAGGGATCTGCTGCTCCGAAAATGCTGCCTAACAGATGAAAACAAACTCCTCCACCCCTTTGTCTTTGGTCAGTACAGAAGAACATGGTTTTATATTACTACAGTTGAAGTTCCAGATTCTTCAATTTTGAAAAAGGTATGACTGATTCAAGGTAAAAAAACAAAAAACAAAACCCAATATATCTAAAGTGATTTAAGAATATAAACTTCAGACTCTGTCTTTCACAGTACACACATGAAAGCACTGAATATTATTTTCACTGGGGGCGATTCCCTTTTACATTGCATTCATTATACGAATACTGATATCCATTGTGGTTTCCTTTTTGTCATTGTTGTTTGGGATTTTTTTCAAGGCAGGGTTTTTCTGTTTTGCCCTGGCTGTCCTGGAACTCACTCTGTAGACCAGGCCGACCTCCAACTCAGAGATCTGCCCACCTCTGCCTCCTGAGTGCTGGGACTAAAGATGTGTGCTATCACCCCCGATACGTTACATGGTTTCTAACTTCAAGCAGAGTTTTCTAAGAGAAAGATAAGGAAACAAGTTGCTGAGTCTCTGGCACATACCTGGGCTGCCTCTTTACACTTTCAGGGTTAACTTTTGAGCCATAATGGGTATCAGACCCCCCTGAAGGCGGAGTTTCAGGCAGTTGTGAGCTGCTCTGTGGGTTCAGGGATTCAAACTTGGGTCCTCTGAAAGAGAAGCAAATGCTTTTAATTGATAAGCATCTCTTTCTCAGTGCTTTCTGAAAAATCGTAAATGAATGTGGCCTGTGTTTTGGGTTATAGACTGCCAAGTTACAGCAACATTCATATCACATCTGTGATTCAGATTTAAAAAATAATACGATTTAGAATAGTCCAAAGTACATGTTTTTTAACAGAGCCCCTGGTGGCATAAACCTATAACCTGCACTTAGGAAGCAGAAGGTCTCAAATTTGAGAACAACATAGGCTACTTGGTAAGACTGTCTCAAAATAAAACAAGGATAGAGAAGCAAAAGACATTTTGGTCTTTTCTTTTTAATGCATCTATATTGTGTCCAAGAAGTTTGTTAGAATAGAATAATAATATAATCTATGTTCAGTGTCTATTGAATTCTATTTAAGTATCTTTAAAAAGTGTGCTTTTGTTTGTTTCTTTTGGACAGGTGACTCATTTTTCTATTGTTCTGACCGCCAAAGATTTTAACCCAGAGAAATATGCCGCCTTCACTAGGATATTGTGTAGGTCTGTATGAAAACTGTGTTAAATGCTAATTCACCAAAATGAAGATCTCATTCAGTAGTAACCTTGCAGATGTCCATATGAAGGAAACAAATTTAGTCTTCAGTCCCCTGATTTAATCCATTTAGGCTTTGCAGAGGCTGATTTGCAAAGTGGGACTTTCTCTTTGCTTTGTGGATTATGTTCTGATTTGGGAAAATAGGCCAGTGGAGGAGAAAAAGCAGTTTGTCCAGCTTTTGTAGTTCCTGGACATCTCAGATTGCTTGCCATTTTTGGTCTGTCCCAATCTTATATATTAGGGACATATATTTTAATGATAGCTTTTCAAAGGTTTTAGTTTTCCTGTCTTACTAGTATCATATACTATGTAACATGCAATTCTTATATTTTTGGTTGTGTGCCTAGCCTTTAATGACTAAGCCATCTCTCCAGCCCATAACATGCAATTCTAAATGCCATATAGTCAGCTCACTCACCCAATAGTTTTGTGAAGAGCTGAAGAGAATTTTTGTGTTTCCCATTGTAAGCCTAATAAGTGTTTTTTGTCTTTTATACATATATACCCCATACACGTGCACATGCACAACAAAGCAAAAATTGAAAAATAAAACTCCATTACCTAAGAGTTTTAGTTAGATTGTATTTTAACCAAATGAAGTTTTACTGTTTATGTAACTAGACATACTACAAGGCTTGCTGTGGAAAGATAAATTCCAGGCATATGGCTCACAAAGAACAGAAACAGCTGCTGCTCTTGTGGCACTGACATAGGTGAGGTTGTTATTGATAGAAGAGTCGAGGTCCAGAAGCTATAAACTGAAAACACTGTGGAGATGTTTTCTCAAAGCGTGATCTCCCATTGCATCTGACTTACCTAGTCAGGGCTATTTACGCAGCTGAACTGAGCAGGGAGTATTTTGGAGTTCAGAAGGCAGTATTGTTTCAGATGTGACTTCCACTTCAGGGAGCCTGATTTCTGTAGTGCATAGTGTCACAGCGTTGCACATCCTCCTTGCCTGTCATGGGGCAGAAGGAATGAGGACTCAGCAAATGCCAGCCACTTCCTCTGCCCCCTGTTCTTCCTGCTTGCATGTACTCAGCTTTACATGTGTACTCATGTATAATAATTCCATATGTCCTCACACACATTTGTCTGATGTCTTTGGACACATTCATGGACAAACACTTTTTCCGTGATGGTGAGGTATATGTAGAGGTGCTTATCTTCATTTCTGGGAGAGAATCAGGGAGGTGTGGTTCCTGTGACAACAGAGACCACTCAGGAGGGCTCCATTCCTTTGCCACCACTCCCTTCATCTTCTAGTTCCTGCAGCTAATAGGGTTTTGTGCACTCCCTAGGATCTGCTGTACCCACCAGGTATGGCAGGCCTGAGCGGTATTGTCTGAGCATGGCCCTCTGGACTGCACTATCTGGTTCTCCCAGTCTTTTCAAGGGGGTTGTTCTTTTCTGTCTCTCATAGCCCAAGGTTATCATCTCCTCATTACTATAATTTGTTTCTGTTCATTATATTGATGAAATTTTTTATTGAGCACATAATAAAAAGTGTCCGTGATACAGGAGTCTACTATTCTCCCTGTCTCTTCCCCAACCCTGCAGGGTTCACACTCTCTGTAATATCCTCTTTGTATAATCTTGTGTTTGAATTAGTGGCTTGGTGGCCATATTTGAGAGCTCATAGTATTTATTGTTCCCCACCTTTTTCTCATTTTATAGCTTAAAGTAGCAAGCATTTAGTAATCACTTAAACTAGCTTTTTCTTCAGATAATCCACAGTAAATATAACTTTCAAGCACTCAGTTGTAAAATTCAGTTTTCAGTTTAATTTTCTCAGTTTTCTATTACATTAGCTGCTGAAAGGCCCAAGTATGCCCAGTAATGTTTTTGTTTTTTTTTTATTTTCTTTTTTGTTTTTTGCTTCTTTTTTTTTTTTTTTTATTTTTTATTCTTTAGTGCTGTTGATCAAACTCAGGGCCTCAATCAGGCTAGGCCCAGGCTTGACTATTGAAGTGTACCACCGGCCTCAGTCAAGTTTCTCAGACAAGATGTAGCTCTAAGCCAGGCTTGGTGGTTTAGTTCTTTAATCCCAACCCTCTGGAGACATAGGCAGGTGGATCTCTGATTCTGAGGCCAGTCTGATCTACATGGCAAGTTCCAGTACAGCCAGGACACAGAGACATCGTCTCTAAATAAATAAGCAAATAATTAGTTAAATGAGAGAGAAAGAAATAGCCTTAATTACTCAGAGGAAGGGATTTCAAAGGGAAGAGACTATAAATGCAGCTGTCTTCCCATTACTATTTGTGGAAGTCTTTAACTGGATGACAGATGTCTGTGTTTTTTACTGCAAACTTTAAAGAGCCTGGATTTTTTAACTATCTAAAAGTAGTTACCTGTAGGATTGCTTATAATAAGCCTGAGTTCTACAGCACTGTTTTCTCTGTGAATGATGCTTTGACCTCTTGTCAAAGGAAGTTGAGGCAATAAAACAGAGTTGTATGACTGAGAACACTAGTTGTGAGCATAAGACTTAAAAAGAAATAAGAATACAATATTGCTGGGAGTAATGCAGCTGTGGGAATCCACTGTTAATTTCCCCCATATGGCAGGAGAGGGTCTTCCTTAAAGAAATGCTCCGCATCTGTCAGGTGCTGTATTTCAAAGTAAGTTAGAGAAGAAATGTTATGGACAGGTGTGCACATTTGGAAATGCTACAGGTTACTTTATAGTATAGAAAGTACCAGTGTCTAATCTTGGTGCCTTTCTCCACGTTACTATACTGCATAAAAAGCATTGTCACCTTTTGTCCTTTTTCACAGAATATATCTGAAATACGGGAGCCCAGTTAAAATGATGGAGAGTTACATTGCAGTTCTTACCAAGGGGATCTGCCAGAGTGAAGAAAATGGCTCTTTCTTTAGCAAAGACTTTGATAGTCGAAAGGCGTATCTTGCAGGTTCCATCAAAGGTAAGAAAGAAAGAAAAGAAAGTAAAACCCTGGCCAGCAACAAAAGTCCTGAGCCAAGGTAATTTTAACCTGCATTTCCCACACAACAGAGCTCATCAGCTCTTTTGTTGCTTCACTGACTTAGAATTCTGTCAAAGCAAACATTTTGTGACAACCTTTTCCATATTGTGTCTTTTATGAAAATGTTCTTACAGCTGAATTTCATGGCTCACAGTCTCCACTGACCTCCATAGTTTTGTTTTGTTTTGTTTTTTCCTCATATCTTGGCCATTAGCTCTTCCTATTAGACAACTACAGCCATGGGTATAGTCTTTAATCCAGTGTTTAGCTGAGGAATTTACAATGACAGGCAGCCAAGAGCTAAGCCACAGATCTTGGAGTCCTGTGGAGGTGGAGCCACCCCTCTTCAGGGCCTGTGTCAGTGCCCGTTGCTCTCTATCCGCTGTCTTTAGTGGTTCCTGAGCTCTTGGTTGAGGTTGGGTGTTCTTCAAGGCTTTTTTATGACACTGAAAAATGTTGGTTTTCCTTTGTTTATTTGTTGCACTTCCTTAGGAGTCTGGCATTATCTGTGTATCCAGAGTCCCCAAAGTCCATTGCTGGCAACTATAATATATATCCTGGTAAGCAGACATGAATAAATATACCTATTCACCAGATGAAGTATGTCTGCACTTAATAGCATTTGCCTAAATGTAGCTGGTGTATTAAAAGTCGTTTAGTCACCGGGTGTTGGTGGTGTGCGCCTTTAATCCGAGCACTCAGGAGGCAGAGGCAGGCGGATCTCTGTGAGTTCGAGTCCAGCCAGGTCTGCAGAGTGAGTTCCAGGACAGCCTTGAAAACAATACAGAGAAACCCTGTCTCAAAAAGCAAAAAAACAGACAAACAAACAAACAAACAAAAAAGTCGTTTTGTATTTATATGACAAGAATTTTTTTTTAGTGGAAACTTTATGCTATTATGTATTTAATGCAGTATTATCTTTTTATTTTAAGACATTGTGTCTCAGTTTGGAATGGAAACTGTTATCTTACACACAGCATTGATGTTGAAAAAACGAATTGTTGTCTATCACCCCAAAATAGAAGCTGTCCAGGAGTTTACCAGGTACCATCTTAAATTATTAAAAAGTGTACACTTTCCTGACAATTGGAGATAATAGAAGCTATTCTATGCTTGTTGCATATTTGATAAAAGGAGCATGGGTTAGGCTGGGCATTGGTGGCGTGCACCTTAATCCCAATACTTGGGAAGTAGAGGCAAGCAGATCTTTGTGAGTTCAAGGCCAGCCTGGTCTACAGAGCAAGTTCCAGGACAGCCTCCAAAACGATACAGAGAAACCCTGTTTCGAAAAAACAAAAAGAGCATGGGTTAGTCTGAGTAAAATATTTTTGTGATTCAGTTTAGAGCTGGTAGTTCAGGGTCACTGAATTTGGAAAGATTTTTTTTTTATTTAGCTTTAGAAAGTTAAATAAGGCAGAAGCTGCACTTGGGAAGCAGAGGCAGGGGGATCTCTGTGAGTTTGAGACCAGCCTGGTCTACAAGAGCTAGTTCCAGAACAGCCTCCAAAGCCACAGAGAAACCTTGTCTCGAAAAACCAAAAAACAAAAAAAACCCCAACAAAATAGAAATAGACCTGCAGATGTGCACAGGCATATATATTTATGTATGTGAGTAGGTGCTTGGGGTGGTGTGTGCACGCACGTTCCTAAAGGAATACTGACGACAACAATTTCTTGGCATATTCAATGAATTAGCAAACTTTTGTGTGAAAGAAAGTAAGTAGTTTAGGCTTGGAGCTAGAGATGTGGACTCAGTGGTTAAGAGCACTGACTGTTCTTCCAGCAGATCTGGGTTTGAGTTCTAGAAAACAACATAATGCCTGTCAACCATCTGTACCTCCTTGAGCACCAAGCACAGACATGAATTCAGGTAGAACACACACACACATAAAATTAAATAAATTAAAATCAAATATATATATAATATATGTGTGTGTGTGTGTGTGTATGTATGTGTATACACACACACACATACATGTATATAATAAATAAGTATTTTAGGCTTGTGAGCCATGTGTCTCTGCCAATTTCTCAGCTGCCTGGCTAGCAGGAAAGTAACCCTAGACAACATATTTGTAAGTGGGTGAGCATAGCTGTGTCAATAAAATTTTATTTTCAAAGGTAAGCAGCTAACCCATGAAGCCCAGTTTGACCCCTGTTTTAAGTAAATTGTTTCTTCAATTTGTTTTGCCTGACTCTCATTTGTTAGTGGTAAATGGGGTGTGGGGTGTGGAATTTTTTGTTTACTCAATCTATTTTTTTTTTTTTTTTTTTTTTTTTTTTTTTTTTTTTTTTT